TGCCCTCCCAGCGGCGCCACGTACCGGCGCTCACGTGGATCTTCTTCTTCCAGGGGTACACCACCGGGACGGGGGGCAGCGCCCCCGCCTGCCCTCTGCTGCTGGCGGACCAGGGGCCGGCGGGCCCGAAGGGCAAGGAGCCGGTGGTGTACCCCTGGATGAAGAAGATCCACGTGAGCGCCGGTACGTGGCGCCGCTGGGAGGGCAGCGGGCGAGGGGACGCGGGGCAGGGCGCGGAAGGGGAGCCCCCCATCTGGCCCGCGCTTTGGCTGTGGGTGTGTACACGCTGCCCAAAGCCTGGTCCCAACGTGAGAACCCTTTTGTACCCAGGGTCCCTTTATCCCAAGATTTACGAGACGCCAAACTGTTAGGGCAGTAATTATAGCCCCCATAAATTTAATTGCCCTGGCAGAGGCTCCGGGCCATGTGTCTTTGAAGCTTTTCTTCAGCCCCAATGCCCAGCACCATTCTTTATGGCTCTCGGGTGTTTCCCGTTGTCAATAGCCTGTGAAACATTTTCTTTGCCGTTTTATGTATCTTGCGTGAACTTGGTGTCAGGTTATTATATAATGATGATGTCCAATTGCTCTTCCCCACCCTATCTCCTCTCTCCTCCTCTCCTTCTCTTCCACTCCCTCCTCCTTGGCCTTCTCCTTCGGGGTCCTGGCGTTCAGTCAACCCCAGTTATAACGGAGGCGAGCCCAAGCGCTCTCGAACCGCCTACACCCGGCAGCAGGTCTTGGAGCTGGAGAAAGAATTCCACTTTAACCGCTACCTGACCCGGCGCCGCCGCATCGAGATCGCCCACACGCTCTGCTTGTCTGAGCGCCAGGTCAAGATCTGGTTTCAAAACCGGAGAATGAAGTGGAAGAAAGACCACAAACTTCCCAACACCAAGATGCGATCTTCCAACCCTACCTCGGCCCCTGCCGGCCCGCCTGGGAAAGCACAAACTCACAGCCCCCACCCCCATCCCCACCCTCTCCCCAGTGCCTCCACACCCATTCCCTCCTCCATATAACCATCTGGGGACCAAATCAGTTTCTGTCACTTACCTGCCCTTCTCCTTTCCTGCTCCTATCCTTATCCACTCCTTCCCAAGGAAACCATATCAGACACCAAAACAAAATTCAACTTGCTGGAAACCATAACCAAAAAGAAGACATTATCCCTGGTAAGTGTCTGTGCGATCCCCAAGAGGACATCTGCCCTGGACACGGCATAGTGGAACAACCTGCTGACCTGAAGGACAACCTTTGGTACCTATGAGGTATCCAAGGGTCTTCAATTTGTCATCGAAGACCCTTGAGTCAGCTGGACAGCGCATGCTGACTGGGGATGTGTACTTGTATCTTTGCTACAAGCAGAAGAGGCTGTCCCAGCTCTCTGACCTTCATCTTCTACATTAAGGCAGCTCACATGAGCTTTACTGAGTAGTCTTTGTGGACCTCACCAGATTATTTAATTCTCAAAATGTGTAGACCTTGATGGTAGTTGTGGCATGTAGTTCCCTCTCCTTGCATTTATTTAAGATACTGTTATAGAGATATTGTTGTCTTATTCTTGTGCACAATCTTGGGGGAGAGGGAAATGCAGTTAGATCCACTTGCAACTGTACAAAGTGATATGGCTGTGTCAAAAGGAATGTGCTAAGAATAAACAATTTAAAAAACATTTAAAACCTAAGAGGCAGATTTGTATGTATTCCAAGGTTTTCATAAAAACAAAAATACAAAGAAACCAACTCCTCTTGGTGGAGATATTTGACCTGTGTGCAGAAGTCTTGTAGGCAGTGTGAGCTGGGGTCACATTCTGAGTACTCTAGAATTTGTGACTGTGTGTGTCTGTGTGTGTGTTCAACTTGATCTGAATTCTTGTCAAGCTTGACCCACTATGGAAATGTTCCAAAAAGCAGAAGGCTCTTGAGTCCTGAGAGGGCTCCTCTTCTTTCCAAACTTGGCCAGGCTTCCAGGCTTCAAGTCTCTGTAAGGCATCGAAACATGTCCGTCCCTGCAATGAAAGGTGAAACCGTGCAGAGCCGAGGCCCAGGAGTTTCTGCAGCTGTTCCCCAGGATGAACTCTGAGCACACTTGGAAAGAGGCGGCCCCTTGGCGTTCGTTGCACCTTCACACTTAATCTGCCTGTTTCCCTGGAGATAAAAAATAGTTTGTGCAAAGGGGTTGAGATTGCTTTTTGGTTTTTTTGGCTGGTCTGACAGTCTTCTTGCTGAACACAGCTTGGGAATTTTTGTTTGCTTCTTTAAGAAGAGCTTTTAGAATCAAGTGAACTTTCCCCACCACACTCTCCAAAGTATCCTCTGAGGGAATAAGAAGCACAATGACACCCCAAAATACACCCTAAGCAAGGTAGAGTTGAAAGAGTTCACTGTTGGAAGAAAGCCAAACTCTGATTAGGGCCACTTTCCTCAGTGCTGGGTTTTCTGTGCACACCCAGAGATCTAGACCTAAATGGTGAAAAAACAAAACAAAACAAAACATGAAAACTCCCCTCTCTATCTCTGTAACACTAGTACTTGTTCATTGGTTGAAATTTGTTACTTAGGTATCTCATACACACACACACACACACACACACACACACACACACTGCACAGAACATTAGAACTGCCACCTAGCCTTGAAGCAGAGCAGTTTTGGGGGGGTTGTAATAAATGTACAAGAGGGAAGGGATGTTCACCTACTTCTGAAATATCAGAGGGGATTTAAAACCATTTCCATAAGTGGGACAAGCTCAGCCACCCTTGCTACACTGAGTACAAGCAAGAGGGGCAGGAGTGGGGAAATCTGTCCTCTGCCTGTAGGTAAGCTAGCTTTTAGAAAGAAGTGATGGGCTCTAGTCTCGGAGAGGCCAAGAGAATTCATGAGGAAAGGAGTACACACATGCCTTCCCAAGTCAGGAAGAACCTGGCATAAAGTGCATTTTATAAGGTGTGAACAGGCACCGACCATTTATGGAGGCAGTGTAGCAACAGCTACAACTTATTAACTCCCCTACTACATGCACTTGTAAAGCAAAATTAAATCACACTGAAAATAGCAATTTCCCCAGGAATCATTAATCACCTCATACAATAAATACTTCTTTGTAATTCAACAGCAATTCTGAAAGGCATTCTCTGGGAAATGTCTTTGGAGGAAAGAGGGGTCCTCTTGCAAATAATGCTTTCTCAGGCAAAGAGGCAGCATCTTGCTTGAATGCATATATATTTACACACACACATACACACACACACACACCACACACACACACACATGCTTAGGCTCTTAGTGGAAACTGAATGTCAAGCCACAAAATCTCAAATGGCAGATTTTCATCGCTTAAGGTAAATTCTTGTATTTCTCCTCAGTGGGTAAGGAAGGATGTGAGACACAAGCTGGCTTCATTCTTGAGCTATTGGTGGGTAGGTAAAGGGGATGTCTTTCATTTGTCCATTCAGAAAAGGAAATGAGAGACAAGGTCCTTTTTTAAAATGCTGTTTTGGGATAAGATGTCATGTTTGTATTGATGATTAAGGTATTGGTGTTTTTGCAAAACCAAAGTTATTGAAAATGCTCTGAACGATTATGTCATTTCTTCATGGTGGGTGTTCTATTTGTGATCCAGGCAGCCTTTAAGGGAGCTCGCTAGAACAGCTTAGAAAATCTCACCGTGCACTCTGAAATCGCTCATTGTCTGCCCTTTGTCAGGGCAGTCATAGGAGTTCACGGAGAGGACAGATTTTCTATCTCATTAATTGTTTTTTTTTGTTTTTTTTTTTTTTTTTTTAGCAAACCTACTAGTCCTTCAAACCCTTGACCTTTAAGGACAGTATTTTGTGTAAACTCTGTAGTTCTCTTACCAAAATGACCCCTGCCCATGCTCCCCCTCCCACTTTTCCCCTCTTTTCCTTCAATCCACACTCATCCCCTGTAGTCACAGAGCCAAGCTGTGCATGCCTCTGGAGAGAAAAGTTTTGTCAACATCTGAAATCAACCTAAATCGGGTAGGAGACACTTTAATGGTCACAGTTTGAATTAAGTACTTAACACTCTCCCCCTTGAAGAAAAATGGCAGCTTGCAGGCTTTCTGTGCTAGTTTTGCTGAAATCTACGATATACCCGGTGTTTTATTGCAGCAGGAATTCATCTGTGACAGGCATAGTGGAGTACTTAATACCCAGGATGGAGCTCATGGGAAGATTACCCAGATATATGGGGTGGGCTCACTCACACTGTCTCTGTCTTTATTTCAGCAGTCCTAGAGTGCCCTAGTCCCTTTACTTCTTCCCCTTCTCCCCATGTCTCCTGGACACCACTATTCTCCTAAGCTCTCAAACTGTCCCCTGCTGCCTTCCCTCCAGCAGTTCCAACACAGAGACAGATTAGCAACCCTTTAGAGTGGAAGGAGACACTCCAAAGAATAAATGTCATAGGTGACGACCTTGGGCTTCCCATCCCCAGGAGTGGGTTCTGTACAAGCAATAGCCTTCACCACCATTCCCCTGCTGTCTGCATCAATAGGTATAGTCCTACAAGGAAAAGTCCAGTCCTAACCTTTTCCAACCGCTGTTCTTGGCATCCCTTTCTTATATTATACACTGCATCAAGGGGGAAAATGCTTTGTACTTAAAAGAGGAAGGTGTGTGCCTGGTGGTGGTGCACACCTTTAATCCCAGCACTTGGGAGGCAGAGGCAGACAGATCTCGGAGTTTGAGGTCAGCCTGGCCTATAGAACAAGTGCTAGGATAACCAGGGCTATACAGAGAAACCCTGTGTTGAAAAAAAAAAGGGGGGGGAACAAAAAGGATGGTATACAGGGCAGAGGCAGAAAAGAAATGGGATACTACCAGGGAGGCATCATGAAACCTTCTAATCTGAAACTGCTGCCTTAGAACTCAGATGTCCTCTTTGCTAATCTGAAGATGTTAAGTGTTCAAGATGAAAGAGAACTGGGAACCATTTTACTTCAGTTGTCTCAGTGTACAGAAGAGGAAACTGAGGCAGTTGGATGACTCTCTTCAAGTTCCTTATGCTGATGAGAATGTAGGTTGTAGAACCTTTGGCATCACTCTGGATGGGCATAAATGCATCAACATCTTTCTGCTGCAGGGTAAACAAGAATAGAGGACTGGAGATGGGTGTCCAGGCTTGTGCGGATGTGTGGGGTCGCAGGTGTGTGTATAGTCTGGAAGAAGAATGGATGTATTTTTAAAGAAGTCCCGGGAGATGATGTAACTAAACTGCCTTATCCTTGCCATTCAAACAGGTGTACTGGCCACTGTGTTCAGGTGAGGGATTTCTGGTGCCTACAGGTCTGGTAGCCCCAGAATGACTAATTCTGCCATGCTCAACCTGGCATGTCCATGGCATTCCCTTTTAGAACAAGAATGGTTGTGTTTTGGAAACCTAGGGAACAAAAAAAAAAAAAAAAAAAGCCAAGTGTGTGAACCTTGGTTGCCACTGATAAAGGTGTAGAGCCTGTTAGAGTAGAAGGAGATATTGAAATTGTGATCTTTGTGGTCACGTGACTCATTAAATAATTAATGCAGATCATCAGGAATGGATCTGAGTCATCAGGGCTTCACTAGGAATGAATCTCTCAGTAGTGAGACTTCATTTTCCTATTTGATTTTTAAATACACACACCTTCAGATCTATCTTCAAAGGCTTAATTTAACTTCACCAGGAAGGCAGAGCCTTCTAACTTGGAAAACGGAGCTGTCCGGCGCTTACCAGGTCCAAGGCTTTCTTGTAAGATTGCTGTGAGTCCAGGGAGGCTCTGTGTCCAGGGAAATGTGAGTTCTGACTCAGGCTTCTTCCTTCCTTCCTTCCTTCCTTCCTTCCTTCCTTCCTTCCTTCCTTCCTCCTTCCTTTCCTTGTGGTCATATCCTGGTTTTAGTGATTAAGTGGGGACAGAAGTGCAGACAGTTGGTAATGTCCTGATTCACGCTGGGGAAGGCAGCAGAGATACCACAGGAGGAGCACGCGGCTTTGTTCAATTTTTCCCGGTGTTCATAAATCACTGGCACTAGGCAAGCGAGGGAGCAAGTAGACGCCAAAAAAACGTGGGAGAGGCCACAATGGCTGCAGCCACTGCAGAGCGAGAGACCTGAACAGTGTCTCTCCGTGACTCATTAGTC